ACCAAATATTGGTATATTATTAACGAAAAATCTGGACACAACCAACACCTAATATTGGCATGTTATTAACAATAAAACTGGATACAACCAACACCTAATATTGGCTGTTATTAACAAAAATCTGGACACAACCAACACCTAATATTGGTATGTTATTAGCTAAAAGTCTGGACACAACCGACACCTAATATTGGTATGTTATTAGCTAAAAGTCTGGACACAACCGACACCTAATATTGGTATGTTATTAACTAAAAGTCTGGACACAACCAACACCTAATATTGGCATGTTATTAACAGAACTGGATATCAACCAACACCTAATATTAGTATGTTATTAACGAAAAATCTGGACACAATCAACACCAAATATTGGTATGTTATTAACAATAAAACTGGATACAACCAGTTTGGACACAAGTTTGGACACAACCTACACCTAACATTTACATGTTATTAACAGAACTGGATATCAACCAACACCAAATATTGGCATACTATTAAAAAGAAAATTAGATACAACCAATAACTAATATTGACATGTTATTTACAACAAAACTGGATACAAAAAATACCTAATATTAACATGGTATTAACAGAACTGGATATCAACCAACACCAAATATTGGCATACTATTAAAAAGAAAATTAGATACAACCAATAACTAATATTGACATGTTATTTACAACAAAACTGGATACAAAAAATACCTAATATTGACATGGTATTAACAACAAAAGTGGATACAAAAAATACCTAATATTGACATGCTATTAACAACAAAACTGGATATGAACCAACACATAATATTGGCATGCTATTAGCAACAAAACTGGATATGAACCAACACATAATATTGGCATGCTATTAGCAACAAAACTGGATATCAACCAACACCAAATATTGGCATACTATTAAAAAGAAAATTAGATACAACCAATAACTAATATTGACATGTTATTTACAACAAAACTGGATACAAAAAATACGTAATATTGACATGGTATTAACAACAAAACTGGATATGAACCAACACATAATATTGGCATGCTATTAGCAACAATTACATCGTTACAATACGTATTTTATTATGACCGGTTTGTTAAAATTGAGACTGACATTAGCTGTGTTGTGACAACTGGTTTCTTGGAATTAAAGTAAACATAACTTTACTGTGACAAGTATATTTTGGACATTGGAATGGACATGAAACATGAGGTGATAAAACTTTTGTCAAAGTGAAGATGGTCATATTATATTATTTTGTTAACATTAAGGTAAACATTATCTGCGCTGCTATAAGTCTCTTAGAGTCAACAATATATATATATATCACTTCATGTTTTATGTTCATTCCAATGTCCAGACAAGAGGGAACCCCCAGTAGCCGCGGCTGTAATTAGATCTCAAATCGGTCAAGATATGGAGCTACGAGCTAAAAGTTTATACTTGAAAGAAACTCCGAGCCATTTTATCAGCCACTATGCCGCGGCTATAAACTCGGAGCCATTGTATAAGCCACTATCCCGCGGCTGAAAATATCTGTAATAGAAATATGTTACGTTTACCTCGACGCCAACAAAACAATTGTCACGACACCGCTTATGTCTGTCTCAGTGTCAACAAACTGCTCATTACAAGATACTTGTTGTAACAATGCAATCATTTCCAATAACATGATTTTTTGGACGTTAGAGTAAACATGATTGTCCTTTTACCCTGATCATAATAATAAGTAAATCAGTCGTTGACTGAACATAAAATACAGCCAGTTCTTAAACCTAAAATAAGTTAGCTGCTTTTAAATTGCTTAACGGATATTTTTCTCATTGTCTGAGTCCTTATTCATGAATAGGATTTTCACAAACAAACATAAAAAACGGTAATATGGAAGTTTTTGTTAAACAATTTCAAGATCTAAAAAAAATTGGTAAAAGTAGGTCACACACGATGCCGAAGAACACACAGCGAAGTGTGGATGAGGTTCTGTACCGGTTCCACGCGTAAAGTTTCACTCCGTTAGAACGTTGGACTGTTTGCTTCGGAAATGCGCGCAAAATTTAACAAGGGGTATCTGCGCATAGACAGGTGTCCCTAATTTTGAAATGATAGACTAGAGAGACGACACACGTCAGTCAACACCACTCGCCGCTTATTCTTGGCAGAAATAGGTCACACACGATGCCTAAGAACACACAGCGAAATATGGATGAGGTTCTGTACCGGTTCCACGCGTAAAGTTTCACTCCTTTAGAACGTTGGACTGTTTATTTCGGAAATGCGCGCAAAATTTAACAAGGGGTATCTGCGCATAGAAGGCATCCCGAATTTTGAAATGACACATTAGAGTTAGTTTTTGTTAGTTAGTTTTTAATTATGAACAAAGCTACACAAGGGCTATCTGTGCTCTACCCACCACGGGGGGCACACTAGAGAGACGACACATAGTCAACACCACTCACTGCTTAGTTTTGGTATACTCTTTCAGACCGAAAGTGGGATTTGATCGTCACTCTTATAACGCTCCCACAATTCTGAGCACGATTTAACGGCAACGGAAAGCACATCGTGGACACTCAGATTCACTGTCCAGCTCACTAGCCTCTAGGCTTCATCCGACTCAACTAGTTTAATAAAACGTAATATATATATATATATATATATTTGTTATGTTTATATTCTGCAAGGGTAAGTTAGTAAGATCGAAAACACCAGTCCCGAAATAATGGTAGTCATTCAGTTACTTAATAATAATTTTCCTTAAAGCCTTAATTATGTTTTTCTCCCTATTCAACAAGCTTGAAGCGAATTGGATTATCATTATCCTTGATGTCGATTCGGAATTGTTATGTAGGACGATTGAGCTTTCTTTAAAAATTTGTTAGTATATTTCTGCTGGTTTGTCATTAAACACAAAGTGACACATCGGGTTATCTATGTTCTCCCAATAGCAGATACAAACCTGATTTCGAGCTGAACTGTCTCATTGACACAATTAGTGTCAATTAAGCAATAAAACAATGTGTGAATTAGTCAAAGAAAAAATAAATACTTTTTAATCGGTCGTTATTTCAGTTCTTGACTCCCTGCCCCTTATGCAGTTTCCGATGTCTTAAAATTGGAAGTCAGTCTCGATAAGTTTCCGACGTACACTATCCTACCAAGAGTCATGGGACACGGGTAGTTATGAATCAAACATGTCTTTATTCCAAGAAATGAATAATGTGTTGGCCGCCTTTGGCCTTAATAACTGTTTCAATGCGCCGTGGAAGACTGTCCACTTATTTCTGGTAGAAAGCTGGTGGTATTGTGCTCCACTCCTCCTTTAAAGCACCAGTAAAAAAAAAAAAAAAGCCCCACTACTGAAGAGGACCGTCTTGGTTTTGCCCTAATTCTGCATTCCAGTTCAGATGTTCTATCGGTTGAGGTCGGGGCTCTGTGCTGGCCACTGCAATGTTCCGCTGTTATTCTCTTCAAACCACGTGTTCACAATCCTTGCTTTGTGACATGGAGCGTTATCAGAACATCAATGTAGGACTCGGCATTCATGGATCCATGCACTGCGACAAGTTGATCTAGTCCATATCACGAGAAGCACCTCCAGACCATGATACTGTTACCTCCAAACTTCACTGTTGGGACAATACACTC